TCTTTCTATAATTAAAATACAATTTTTTAAAATAAAAATGGTAAAAAAGAAAAACAAAGAAAATCTTCTCTTCTTCTATCTCGGATTAAAAATTCACAGAAGAAGATTCATGTTCTTCCTCTAAATGTTTCATTCAACTCGTTCCAACAGAAATAAAAAAAATAATTGAAACTTCAAAATTTTTGTTGAAAGCTCAGTTACAAGGAAGCCCCCGTGACTTCATCAACGGAGATCTACGAAGTGGCTTCGGGAGAGACCAAGATACTAGAGAGGTAGTAGATCTATCGTTGATTCTCGAATTTCGGATCTGAGCACGCATGCCTGGTTTTAAGTAGCGGTGGAGTCCGTCGTTTCTTTTCACCAGAGATCTAGAGATATTTTCCATGGATTAGATTCTGGTTAAGTTTGGTGGTTGGATGAAAAATCTGAGAATCGATAGGAGATAGAAGGCGGAGAAGATGAATTAGGCTATGGGGAGAGGAGGAGGCGGTGGAAGTGGGTAGTCACGATGGTGAGGCTGGTACTCAATTGCGGCGGTGGTGGAAGATGGAAGGAGAACCGGTGATGGTACGGCGGAGGAATCGTCGTTGTCTTGGCGGTGGACTTGAGGGAAGTCGGGTCGGAAGGTGAGGAGGAAGGAGAAGGCATGAATTCGCCGCAACCACTAATATTTTGTCGAAATCAATTTTTAATTTTTTTGATTTTTTGTTAATCGTAGAAAAAATAAGAAAATTGTATATAATTATAAAAATATTTTTTTGTTCAATATTTCGTTTTTTTTTCTTTTTCTGATTTTCTAAATTTATTATTAAATTGTAATAATATATTAAATAATTATTTTAATTAAAATTTTAAATTAAAAAATGAACAGTTCTGTTAAGTATTATGACGGTGTGTACTAAAAAGTCATCTTGAAGGTTTATAGTGTGAATAATGTCACGTTGGAGGTTTAAAGTGTTAGTTATAAACTTTGGAGGTTTAAAATGTCACTGCGAGTCACCTTGAAGGTTTTTTATGCGATTTTCCCTTTAAAGAAATCACTAAATTTTGGTCCGCGCCGAAGCGCGGGATTAAATTATTGAATAAAGTGATTAATCGGTTTTAACATATATAATTTTTTTAATATTAAAACGCGTTATTTCTAATATATGTAAGCGTACAAAAATGATATGTATTATGCATAAAATGAATAAAATTAAATACTTTTGATTAAACATATGTTAATGCTATCAAATTAAATATTTTTATTTGTAAATTGATTAGAATATATGCAAATATTATTTTTTAATTTTTTAAAAAATATATAATTGATCTTTGTTATTCTTGTAAATTTTAAACATACGATAAATAAATTTGTCTGAGATAAAAAATGGAAAACAATATATGTTTTCCATAATGAAATATTGAAATTTATAAATATTTATAAGTGTGATTAAATATATAAGGTAAGAGTACATATCATAATAAAAATATTCATATAGTATAGTAATCTAAATACATAAATACACAATAAATAATTGTTATAACTACAATAATAAAAAGCTTGCTAATATTTCAGAAAATAGATGTTATGGTAAGTCTAAAATATTACATTTAGTTAAGTTTAAAAATTTAAAACATGTATTAATGAGTTTATGTTAAAAATTAATGAGAATATATAGAGAAATTCCATCATGGCATATATTTTTAGTTGAAATGTTTTAATTGGTTAAATTAAATGATGTGTTTCTTGAATTGCTCTTTGATTGACATCTATGATTTTTTTTCTAGTATATCCTGAATTAATATATAGAGGATACTAATTTATTTATTCCCACTCAAATTTTTTTTTAAAGTAATAAAAATAGTAAATAGAATTTATTATTTACTTATAGTACCTGAATAGTACTACAAATCATAACGGAATCATAAACAATATTTTTATTATATGTTTTAAAACATTATATTTAGTTACATTTGCTAATTTTATATTTACTAGCCGCAGTAAATGTTATGGATATTATAAATATACTTTTATACTTCTGAATTTTGAAATGATAAAAAAATAGATAAAACGAGTTAAAACATAATGTGATTAAATAATTAAACAATCTTTAAGATATGAGATTTTTTTACATGTAACTCAAATGGGCTGTAAATTTTGAACATGTTTAGATGGAATTTAGTGGAGTACTTTAGTGGTTTCCAGCTTTTTGTTTTGAGTTTTCATGGTGGGTGATAATTTCTCGTGCAATTTTAGATGGAAATTTCAAAATTATTGGTCACCACTATTCTTAGTAATTTAAAGCTGTCACTTGTATATTTTAAATTAATAACTTCAAATTACATTTCTAAAATCTAGTAAATTTTTTTGTACGCAAATATAGACCTCATATTCAGTCAATCTTACGTTTCTTGATTAGTTTAGTTGAGGTTTATAAACAACCAATTGATTAGAGAATTGATTAAACCAAATTAGTAATCAATTATGCAGGCTGTACTTAAACACAAGTGTTTTATTGCAGAGTTAAATTCTGATACCTTTTAGAGAAAGCAAAGATAACGTGCTTATTAATTATGATGCT